TCAAATCATTCAACCATCGTTGGGATTTGAATCTGAATCCCACTTCGTTGAGTGGTGAGCGTTCTATCCTCCACGACTTACCAGGAATTATCAATAATTATTTGAAATAGAAAATTAATAACATTAAAATAAGATACATAATTTTAAATTTATTGGATTTTCAAGAAGTCAAGTGCACATTTTGACCCCCCCTTTCAAATACCCATGCTTAACTAAATTATATCATAAGCAATTTTACTAAATACCAATTAATTAATTTAGAAACAAAGAATTTTAATTAGGAATTGGAAAATTTTGAAAGAAGTTTTTTGTCGGCAAGCACTATCATTCAAAGCTAAAGTGAAGGATCAATTTTCAATATGATAAGCTAGAAGCATAAAATACTTCACAGCCTTAAACAAGATTTAAGAGGCCCTTTCACTTTATGATCCTCGCTAATCATAGCTAACTCATAATTTATCAAATCATGTTTCCTCCTTCTAGATCTAGTTCAGCCTTTTGCATCAAGAGGTTCTCGAAGCCCATTACATGATGTGGTCCATTTATCGCTTGTTGATCCAAAGAACATCAACCAGATCAACTTAAAGCTCTGGTCAAGGACAACCCCATATAAACCTAACTTGAAGGATATATTTATATATAATTGGATGAAGGACCCTGATTTTATTCTCTTTTGCTGCTAGGTGTTCTGGGTAGTCTAAATCGTTCGTCGGCGTGTAAAACTTAAAGAAAATAGAAAAAAGATTCTGACTGTTAAAAATGGCTGCCGGTAGTTATCAAAGGTTGGTGTTCACCCACTTAAATGTTCTGGAATAAGAATTACTGGAATGAAAATAATGCCTCAGGGGTGCTATTAATTTTAAACGTAGGATGATAGAACCCCGCTAGTGCGACATTTTACAGCGCCTTTTCAGTAAGTTGCACACTTTCGTATTATTTTTGGTTGGCAGGAAAAAAAAAAAGCACCGGAAGAAGCCTGGGAAAAAGAGCACAGGAAAAAAAAGGACCCGGATAAAAGAAAACCATAAGAAGCCTGGAAAAAAACAGGAAAAATAGGAACCGGATAAAAAAAACGTAAGGAGACTGGAAAAAAGAGCACAGGAAAAAGAGCGCCCGGATAAAAGAAAATCGAAAAAAAAGAGCACTCGGAAAGAAGAGTACCGGAAATAAAAACATCAGAAGAAAAATTTGTAACTAATGCTTTAATACATTTTCATAATAATAATAATTCCAAATGATAATTACCTGTGGAATTTGCTCTCTTTTAATGTATTTATGAAATGAGTACTTCAGAAATGTTATTGCTTCTCAGCTGACATTTAATATTAATTTGCAAAGAATAGTTTACGAAATAATAAATCAAATTTAATTTAAATAATATAAAAATAAATTTTTTCAAAAAAATATATTTGAAATACACTTGTCTTCAAAACAGTTAATTTTCTTTCGCTTAGAGAGAATTAAGTTTACTTGTTTAAAACTAACTTACTTTTCGTTAATAAACTATCACATATTGGATCTTAACATTGATTAAAAAATACCAAGATAACTAACTTCAAACTGTACTTTTTAGTTATAGTCATTTCCATTGCGAATACGCTTTAAAAGCAACAATAGTTTAAATGATAATTTTCATTTCTTGTTCACACATATCCCTTTACTTACTTTAGATCAAAAATCCAAAAATATACACGCATATCGAACATAAGGTCATGTCATGACCATTAATCGGTCATTAATTTCATATGTCACTTGACGTATATTTTTTTAAAATTCTTCACATCAAAACTTAATGATTCTCTTTTGTTTTGGGATACAAAGTAGACTATTTTTCTGGTGCATTTTTTCCGTCGATTTTTTTTTTCTTCATGGCTTTTTTTTCCAGGTGTTTCTTTTCTTAGCTTGTTTTCTGGGTACTTTTTTCAGAGATTCATTGTTTTTATTATGTTTAATTTATATTCAAATAAAAACCATTGCATTGGGAGAAATAGCAGTTTTTTAGTAAATTTTTAAAAAAAATAATGATATTGATGCTATTTAATAGTGTCGGATAGGCATTTAAAAAAAAATATGTCTTTCTATGTCTTATAATTTTTTTAGTTTTATAATTTGGAAGTTAACTCATTTTAGAAAATTAATTTACAACGCCGTGAAACCACTTAGGTTGCCATTGTGAAAGACCAAGGTTCGATTCCCGATATCATCTGAAAGCCTAATCCTGTTTCAGATCATTGGATATCAGCTTGTTTGGGATTAAAATGCGGCTAACAAAGCACGCAAAATAAATTAATCGAAAACTGATATCCACTTAATTGAAAAATGGGCAATCTTACGCTTGAGAAAATTTTTTGTTGATGAATTGTACTAATCAGATATTTACAATTATTATCAATTCATTCATACCACAATTTCTTATTTTATATGTTTCATGCATAAAGCGTATTTGACAGATTATTTTTATGTTGTGTCGTAAACTAATTTTATAGTTGCTGAGCATCCAACCTAATTTTTGAGTATGCGACTACCAATGTTCAATCCCGTAGCCTTGTAATTTTGAACCCAATCCAGAAAACAAGAGGACTCCTGGATCAAGCATTGAGAGAAATTTGCATTCGTGGAGGACATTTTGATGGAACTTACCCGCATTTGCATTACATGGAGAGGAAAACCACGAAAACTTGTGTGATCGAGGAGCGGATTTTGTATAGAAGAACCATCGCGGGGATTTGAATCGGGATCATCACGTTGAATTGAACGACCTCATTGGCTCTTCACGAACATCGCCGTCATTTATATTGCGAAAAGCGTAAATTAAATAAGTCTTCATTATTTTCTAACCTGCCTGATAATTTTCAGGTTTATTACGACGCACTTTGTGTGTGATTTAATCATGTAACTTTGAAGTGAATTCTATGTAGATTTTAATTTTAAAAAAATGTACTAGTTAAAATTGATATTAATTGATATATTCGTATTGATATTTTTTTGCCTTAAAATGTTACATAAACTTAAAATGTTACATTTTGGAACTCTCTAAAATGCATTTATTTATTCAATTCATAGTTATTGAGCGTGATTTAATCATGTAACTTTGAAGTGAATTCTATGAAGATTTTAATTAAAAAAAATGATCTAGTTAAAATTGATATATTCGTATTGATATTTTTTTTTGCCTTAAAATGTTACATAAACTTAAAATGTTACATTTTGGAACGCTCTAAAATGCATTTATTTATTCAATTCATAGTTATTGAGCGTTGACATTATGTATTCATTTAATTTGCTTTATTTAAAGCAAATGTTTTACATTATAATATACCTTGACGATTTGTTGTTAAATAAAGAAAAAAATCGTTTAAAAAAAACGTATTAGTTTATTTATTTAAGGTGTGAACTGTAAACAAAGGAGCTCAAGTGTCAGAACTCGATCTTCATCTTTCATTTTTGACCTATTTAAACGAGTAAAATGGTATTGTTTATTTTCTATCAGTTTCTAAACACGAATAGCCGTCGATAGCTCAGTTGGCAGAGCGGTGGACTGTAGAGGAAAAATCATAGACATCCATAGGTCGCTGGTTCGACTCCGGCTCGACGGACGCTTTTTTTTAATTGGTGTCTTCAAATCATAAAAAAGACTAGAATAATATAGTTAAAAATAAAAAGAAACCTTTAATTTTAACGATTCTCTCTGTAAAAAAGGCATTTAATCAAGCAGCTTGTTCCCAGGCACCGCTGTACTTCATTGGTGCTGCATCTCTCTAATAAAGGAACGATCTAAACTAGTGATCATATCTGTAATGATCATATTGCGATCACAATATCTAAAATATATCGATAGAAATGCATAAAAAAAACATAAACTTTATTATTCCGTTAATTTTTTATATTTAAACAAATTTATTTATTTAAAGCAATAATTTATTTAAATTATAAAAATAATCGCAATTTATCTTTTTTTTTTTTTACTTGGAATTATTCGTGAAAAAAAAACATTTCTATATGCGATTTTTTTTCTCATTATGCGTTTCTGATACTTATTCAATAGATGTGACCAAAAATGACAAAACAACCGAAAGGTAAGGCGAATCTATGTCTTACCTCCGGAAAAAAATTTAAAAACTTAATTTGTCTACATAAAATCTATTCACAGGAAATCTTAGCCTCATGACTGGATGAGGCGAAAAATCCTAAAAGTAAGAATAAATATCATGAGATCCATTAACTTCACTCCGGACTAAACTTCGGCATATTTTCAAATTAGGTAAAATGTGCCCTTTGCAAGGAATTTAAAAATTGTCAGACTTATTATAAAATAATATGTAGTTTTAAAACTAATCAGGCAACTTCAATACCTCAATGATCCCTTTGGCTCTCAACGGGTAGTGTCCAGAATGCTTTTCTACATTCAGGAAACAACCCGTTGTACACAACCCTTTCTACATTCTGGACACAACAGATTCCAACATTAAAAAAACATCAAAATCTTGAAAATAATCATGAGCTTTTTCTATTATCTACTTCTACGATTATAGTTAAATTCAACCCTCACTTTATCAACTTTATCGAAAGATAATGTGTTCGCTTATATTATTAAAATTTTATTGAGGAACCAAAAAGGATCAGATGTGAGCAACAAGTAGGCTGATCAACGACTTAAAGCACTAAAAATTTAAACCTATGACTATTTCTAAAATAAATTATTTTTTAATTGCAAATATTTAGCCCTAGCAAAATATTTTATGAAGTAACAAATAAATTGAAGAATGAAATTTTAGATTTTTCAAATGTAAAGATTCTTTGAATTTAAAGAAGAAAAACATTAACAGTATGCTTAGTGAAAATAAATTGTTTACCTCCATAAAACGAATTTAACGCTTTTTACCTGACTACTTAAAAATTTCAACTAACTTAATATGAAAAGGCATTTAAATTTTTTGTTAAAATTTTCCTTTCACAATTTTTTTTTTTTGAAAATTAAATTGACTTTTTTCTCCTTGCAGCAAGTACATTCCCTTTCTTATCTTTGACCCACTTAAACGAATAACTTCATCTTACTTACTTCTTATCAGTTTCTGAAGTTACCAACCGTCGATAGCTCAGTTGGCAGAGCGGTGGACTGTAGAGGAAAAATCATTGACATCCATAGGTCGCTGGTTCGACTCCGGCTCGACGGAAGCTCTTTTTATAAAAAAAACAACTGTCTTCTGCAGATCACAACGAGTCTGGATTATATTACATAAAAAAAAAATTATAATAATTTGCATTTTTGTTATTATATTTGTTCTATTGTACACATGCTTATAAAATTTATTTTTAAATTTAGTGCTTAAGTGTCAGTTATTTTAAAAATGATTCTGCTGTTCATTTTATCAAAATTTACAATTATCCTTCAATTTATTTTGATTTTTATTCTTCATATTTTAACAATAAATCTAAAACTATGTTTGCTTCATTCTGATTGATGGTTTTGTAAGGAAGAAAGGCTTTTGTTTGTGTTTCAAGGGCGCAGTCTTTGCACATTTAAGAAAAACTTTAAAGGCGTTTACTAGCAATTGCTTTTATTTCATTTATTTCTTTATTTTGCATTTTTCGCATTAAAGGTCATTTTTATACGGTCTGTTGCATCAATTTTTAATCGAAATTTTTCTTTATTTTTTTTTTATTTTTCTTTTTTTGTTGAAAAATTACAATTGCTGATTGTTTATTTAAGTTAAAGGTAAAGCTCTTCTCATCGTAAATATTTCTTAATTTTCAAACACAAATTTTCTGTTCCTTTCAGATTTAATATTTTTAATATAATTTTTTTCATTCATTATTCTTCTCATTTATTCTTTCTACAAAAGCCAAAAATTAGACTTTTCTTAATCATTTTTTTTTTCGCTTTTCAATAAAACGTTCGATTTTTTTCCAAGCATTGTTTTATTGATTTTAATCATGAACAAATTTTAAAACAAATAATCTTTCATTTAAAATGCATTTACAAAAATTATTCCTATCGTTCAACGAATAATTGCGTAAAATATGGAGTAAAATCTCATTCATGATCAATATTTTTCTGAGAATGGCAAACGAATGGAAAAATAAAAACTCAACTCAAAATCAAATTGTGAATTAACCCATGGACTAACAATAAGCGGAGCTGTCTAAATCTGTCCGAATATTTCTTAGGAATGCATCTGAATTTTTAAGAATGCTCATCCTTTCATCTCCCTGGCCCCATAAAAATAATTTGATTTTAATTTTTATTGTTTACTTTAGCAATGCGCAATAGCCGCCGATAATTCAGTTGGCAGAGAAGTGGACAGCAAAGGAAATATCATTGACATCCATAGGTCACTGGCTCCGGACTCCGGATAGGACTCCGGCTCTACGGACGCATTTTTTTAAAAAATTAATGTCTTCATATCATGAAGAAGACTAGAACAATATAATTAAAAACAAGAAATTTTTTTATATTTTTAATGATTTTCTCTGTAAAAAGGGCACTTAATCAAGCAGCTTGTTCCCAGTCACCGCTGTTCTTCACTGGTGCTACATCTCTCTAATGAAGGAGTCAAAAGATATGAATCTTTGAAAAAAGATTCGAAATACAAATATTTTCTTTCGCTTGTCACACTTATCTTCTTTGACCCTGTTAAACGAATAATTTAATTTATTTTCTTACTACATGTTTCTAAGCAAACCAGCCGTCGATAGCTCAGTTGGTAGAGCGGTGGACTGTAGAGGAAAAATCATAGACATCCATAGGTCGCTGGTTCGACTCCGGCTCGACGGACGCTTTTATTCTTTCAATTAATGTTTTCAAATCATAAAGAAGACTCGAACAATATATTAAAAATAAGACATTTTTTTTAGTTTTAATGATTATCTCTGTAAAAATGGCATTTAATCAAGCAGCTTGTTCCCAGGCACCGCTGTTCTTCATTGGTGCTACATCTCTCTAATGAAAGAGTCAAAAGATATGAATCTTTGAAAAAAGATTCGAAATGCAAATATTCTCTTTCGCTTGTCACACTTATCTTTTTTGACCCTGTTAAACGAATAATTTGAATTTATTTACTTACTACAAGTTTCTTTACAATCCAGCCGTCGATAGCTCAGTTGGCAGAGCGGTGGACTGTAGAGGAAAAATCATAGACATCCATAGGTCGCTGGTTCGACTCCGGCTCGACGGAAGAATTTTTACATCTGACGATCACAATATTAAAATATTTTTTTAACAATTGTACCGACTTAAAAAATATTCATATTGAGAAATAAAAGTAATATTAAAATTTGTTATTCTTTTTATTTTATAAGGAAAGAGAAGTTAGCACTTAAATTATTATTACAAGGAAAGGAATTTTTTTAAACATAAAAGCAAAAAAAAAAAAAAAANTAATTATATTAAAAAAAAGAAAAAAAAAAAAAGAAACATTTATATCCATAGGTTGTTTGTTTGTCTCCGATCAGCGAAAGTCAATATTTCTTAAAAATACAAAAAGTTTTGAGTGGTTATTTGTTATAATTTTTTTTAATTATACTAATATATTTGTAGCACTCTTTTTAATCATTAAAAACATTTCATGACTAGTTTCTCATAATTCTTTTTTAAATTGTAAAAAAACATACATTGTTGTAAAAAAAAAACCTTTGATGTTAATTAAGTTTCTGTTAATTATATGAACAAGATTATTGCAGTAATAAATAATTATTAAATTGATAAATTTCTTAATTATAAAAACGTAAATTTTTTATACCTTATATTAACAATATTAACAATATGCATAATTCTCATGAGATAATTGTGAACATAATTCTGAAACACTGCGTCATAATTTTTTGTTTAAAATTATCATAATTTTTTGTTTAAAATTATCATAATTTTTGTTTAAATTTATCGTAATTTTTGTTTAAATTTATCATAATTTTTGTTTAAATTTATCATAATTTTTGTTTAAATTTATTATAATTTTTGTTTAAATTTATCATAATTTTTGTTTAAATTTATCATAATTTTTGTTTAAATTTATCATAATTTTTGTTTAAATTTATCATAATTTTTGTTTAAATTTATCATAATTTTTGTTTAAATTTATCATAATTTTTGTTTAAATTTATCATAATTTTTGTTTAAATTTATCATAATTTTTGTTTAAATTTATCATAATTTTTGTTTAAATT